TTGGTTGCATTTGAGTCTCCAAAGCATACGGATACCATCATCACTAGAGTAACCAGCTAGGTACCATGCACCATGGTCAGTGAAACTGAAGGACTCGGTAGTTATTTGGCCCACCGGGAGGAGGTTAGGGAACGTCGTCCTATCAGCAACACAGAAGTCACCCGAACACTGGCCAGATGAAGAGGATGTAGTAGTGCTAGTCACGGAACCACTAGCTGAAGCACTAGTTGTGCTTGTTTCAAGCCCACTAGTCGAAGCCGTAGTAGTGCTAGTTACAGGACCACTAGTTGAGGCCATGGTAGTGCTAGTCACAGGACCACTAGTTGAAACAGTAGTAGTGCTAGTCACAGGACCACTAGTTGAAACAGTAGTAGTGCTAGTCACAGGACCACTAGTTGAAACAGTAGTAGTGCTAGTCACAAGACCACTAGTTGAAACAGTAGTAGTGCTAGTCACAGGACCACTAGTTGAAACAGTAGTAGTGCTAGTCACAAGACCACTAGTTGAAACAGTAGTGGTGCTAGTCAAAAGACCACTAGTTGAAACAGTAGTAGTACTAGTCACAGGACCACTAGCTGGAGTGGTAGTAGTGCTAGTCACAGGACCAGTAGGTGAGACAGTGGTAGTGCTAGTCACAGGACCACTAGTGGTAGTAGAACAGAAATCTCCACACCAGTTGAGGAAGCGGAAGTCAGGTCCTTCAAAGTAGTCTTGCATGACAATGCCTCCAGTGGGCTTGAAGTTCACAAGGTTGCCGTTGCCCGATGTACATATTTGATTAGGCGCCAGACCACAGCCACACCCACCAGCGTAAAGCTCACCCGAGCCAGCTAGATCATCTAGCGGAAGGCGGTAGACCGAATCGATGGATTTACGGTAGTAGAGGTAGCCATCTGGAGCCGCAGTAAAGCTTTCGTCACCTTGAATATCCAGTGGAATGAAAGTCCACTGAGGATCCACAGACCCATCCATCGTAGCATAGGCAACGCCGCCATTCATTCTAACATAAAGTTTACCGAGTGTGAAGCGCAGAATAGTAGGCTCAATAAGAACACCCGAACCACTCAAGGGGGCTATTGGAGTCCACACGCCTCCCTGACTTATGAACCGAGCGATCTGCCCAGTAGCCTTCTCGGTAACGTATAGAAGATTCGACTGTTGATCAAAGGTGACTCCAGTATACTCCTTGGAAGGATCCGCCGGAGCGATTATACGATAAGCATTGTGATTCTTCGGGTAGAAAGCACCAACTTCACCCTCGCTGATGCCAAACACGAACATATCGTTGCCCGAAGCCTCGATATTAGAAAGGGTCTTCTCGGCAACAGGTAACCATTGGTTGCATTTGAGTCTCCAAAGCATACGGATACCATCATCACTAGAGTAACCAGCTAGGTACCATGCACCATGGTCAGTGAAACTGAAGGACTCGGTAGTTATTTGGCCCACCGGGAGGAGGTTAGGGAACGTCGTCCTATCAGCAACACAGAAGTCACCCGAACACTGGCCAGATGAAGAGGATGTAGTAGTGCTAGTCACGGAACCACTAGCTGAAGCACTAGTTGTGCTTGTTTCAAGCCCACTAGTCGAAGCCGTAGTAGTGCTAGTTACAGGACCACTAGTTGAGGCCATGGTAGTGCTAGTCACAGGACCACTAGTTGAAACAGTAGTAGTGCTAGTCACAGGACCACTAGTTGAAACAGTAGTAGTGCTAGTCACAGGACCACTAGTGAAACA